ACCAAAGCTAAGTCAAGTTGAGCGCAAAATCTCACCGAACAACAAAAAACTATCCAGGTAAGTATTGATTGTTTGATCAATCAATGACTTTAGATACCATAACTTTTTACCAAAAATTAGGAAAATCACTGTAGGATTTTCTAATAACTTTCAAAAAAGACACTATCTATCATTTTCATAGGAAAACACTCAGCATGGATAGCAGGTTAGTTGAAATATTCACCTTTATAAGCCTATCAACACAGAGTGGTTGCGTAACCCATTCATATTTACCCAATTAATACCTTGCTCCCTGTCTAACGGAATCAACTGTATTTTTGGCCATCAATCAACAGGTCAAAAGCTGTTCCTTTTTTCAGAGCTTCAATGTCGTCCCAGGGAAATCGCAAACCAGTTTTGTCAGCTAGTCAGAGGAATATCATCAAGTACTGTATTGACAATGCCAAAGATGACATAGGTAATAGGCGTTAATCAATATTATTGCTTGATTGATTACTTTATCGTCTATTCCTATCTTCAGCTGATCGAATAATACGACGGGCGGTGGAAAGGAAGGAAGATTTCAAGTATTTCTTGGACAATCTGCCAAGGGTGAGTACTGTAGCATGGTGGTGGCTTTCCATCGTAACTGAGATAAAATTGCGTAATTTTAATACAATTGGTGAAATCAATTAATCATTGTTCTGTTAATCATGCTAGTTCTCGCAGACATAGGCATGCTGCCCTTTGAGCATAGATAAACTAGGCGCAGTGTACAACAATCTGCTACTACAGTATGACTACAGTAACCTAACTTACATACGATCGTTTACATTAGACGAGTGCAAGTGTAAAGGGACAGTTCCTTTGAGAGAACATTCGAGACTAGAAAAATGTTCTGATGAGTTCCACCTATATTCGCTAACGTTTTAAGTTCCCTAAAGCTAACAACTACTTACACAACTCGGTTCTGTCTTTTTTAAAATTTGGAAAGGTTTCAAAATAAATTGAAGGTAGAGCACACTAACCATCTTGTGACATTGATTCAAATGGAAAGCATATAGTTATATAGATTTATTAGCAGTATATCGTTTAGATGATTGTTCCCTTATTAGAAAAAAAGGAACTTCACGGGTTGTCGTAGAAAAACTGAAAATCCCCTCCTTTTTCTTAGAACACTTCCACAAGGCTGAGGAAATTTTCACTTTAATGTCTGCACCACTTTGTCAGAAAATTTCGGTATGAGCGTTTAAGTGATAAGTAGTTGTGGACTCCTTGGTTTCGACTGCTGACCTAATTGGTTATTCCACGATTTCTTTGCTATGAACTAGAAGAACATGTCCAGATTACGAATTTTACGTGCTTCTTAATTTTATTCGCTTTTCTTTGCTAGATAGTGCCTGGAATGTTGCACGCTAGATATTAGAGAAGTCAGGGAATCATACTGAGGATAGCGTATTAGTACTTACCTAAAGGTTTTAAACGTTTGAAAATGCTGAACCTCTAACGAGTTCGTAGGACAACTTTCAAGATTAACAAACTTCTAATAATCGATAATTATGTTTTTTTTACTGAAAAATAAATAGCTACCAGTTGCC